TGGTTGGGGTATTTAAGAATGTTGTAGAATGAATGTGGGATATCCAGTATTGAGTGGATTGCCCTCATGACTCTTTTCTGTGTCTCTGTCTTTTTCTTAGCATCTTTATCTGCTGTTTCCCAGTGCACACTCTGCCTCTCAGGTACGAAATGGGAAAGTCAGTTGGATCCGACTGAAGCCCCACAAAGACGGGTTACAACAGTATATTTCCATATGACTTTTTGGAGAAGTATTTAGTGTGATTTATCTCTCTCAGTTTTTCTTTTCTACTCCACTCTCCACTCCCCATTCCCAGTTTATCCTTTCCTCTTTCGTAATTCCCTTTTTTTCCCCTTATAAAAGCACATTCTATGGCCTTCTGCCCGGATAGCTGTATATAAACCAAAAGCAGAGTGAAAAAACAATTGACTATAGTGAATTCATATATAAATTGAACTCACATAAATTTTAAGAACATAAATTTGTATAGTTTTATAAATAAATATTATAAAAATATTTTGTGAGAATGGGGATACTCATTAATAAATATCTGCTGTTCATCAGTTTATTGAAGAAGCTGAGACAGTTACCAAATCTGAATAGAGAAATATTTTGTATCTGTTCCTCTCCTTAACTTCAGTGTAACTCTTCATGGTAACTCTATCCACTGTGTTGCAGATTATAGTTTGAAATTATCCCTGTACTAATAATGAGTAATTTATAAACAGATAATATTCATAAGTGTTAAAGTATTTTAAAGACAAACCAGTTAGATTTAAATGTAATCCCAGTTAAAACCTCCTTTGTTCATATTTAATATGAAAATGCTATATAATTTTGATAGAATGTCAATATCAAATGCCATTTTATATAAAATCTAGACATAAAAAGTTAAGGCTACAGAAGTTCCTACAAACCAAGTTAAGAATAGAACTGGTTATCTCAGAACTATATCATCCACCACTCTCTCCAGATTAATTTCCTCTGAGAAAATGCAGCTAAATTCTTTTCCTTCTTTAAGATTCATTTCACTCAATCTGAACCACTTATTGAGTGCACTTTGTGCAGTCAGTTGTTATTAGATGTTTTGCTGAAAAACACAAAAACTATAAAAAACAAAAATTAAAAAAGACTATAGGACATTTGCTGTACTCGAAATATAGTAACCTGCACCAGATTTAATTTTGCCTGGGAAAATTATCAAAGCAGGCAAATGGGACATTTCTCAGATGTTCATCAGACAGCTCTGGTTGGTGAACTATGGGGAAGAAGTAAGAAGTGAGGTCCATCCTGGGCCTCAGAGCACTGTCTGAAGAGAATGTCCAAGCCACAGTGCAGAGGAGAAAACTCAAGTCAAGTTCAATCATCTCGCACAGTTGATCAGGTGGCGTTGGTCATTTGTACAGTACAGCGTTCTCTAGCAAAGGGATCTGAATGGAAAAGAACTTGAAATCTTTAGAAGACCTTCACAAACTCCAGTTCAGTACAATCTGTGTTTTCATGCGAGAAAACTGCGTGAGGCTGGGAACTGGTCACCTGATTGGTCATACTCAGGGAATGAGCAGCAGAAGTGGAAATATTTCATCTGCCTTCCAGCAAAAAGAAAAAAAAGCAGACAACATCTTTTTCTAAGAGATGGGTATGCTTATAACGCCAGTGCTGGGGGCCTAAGGTGGGTGGAGGGTGAGTCTGGGGCCCGCCTGAGCCATACAGTGAACACATTGATCCTGTATCTTTTGTATTGTCCCTGTATCTTTTGTACTGGGCCTGTATCTTCCTGTATTGGTCCTGTTCTTTTGAAGCGGACTGGGGGAGAAGGAATGGAAAGAGGCTGAGGGAAAGTTATTACCTCAGAGTGGGAAAAATGCAAGCCATAGATTAATATGACTTTTTTCTAATCAGAGCTCACAGAACTCAATACAAAGTTTCAAAACACTGAACTCTTGCCAGATACTATAACAAAATATGAATGGTGAAGAATACTAGTACTTGAAAACAAAAATACTCTTCACTCACCCAGTGAGATAAAGTCACAACATCTGACCTCCTATAAAAATAGTCAGGCTTGCAAGAAATCTGGGAAATCTGATCAAAATTCTGAAGAGAAGCTGGGTGTGGTGGTGCATGCCTTTAATCCCAGCATTAGGGAGGCAGAGCCTGGCAGATCTCTGAGTGCCAGGTCAGCTTGATCGATAGAGGCAGTTATTGTAACTACATCCCATATGGTAATGAAAACAGAGGGGAAAGTAAGGATATTAAGTAGGCAGAATTGAGATATAAAAGAAAAAAGACCCAGCTGATACTTCTAGAGCAGAAAAGTACAGTATCTCAGATTAGAAATACAATGTACAGAACTAGCAGTGGGTTAAATGCTGCACAATAAAAATACCAGTGAGTATTTTTAAGCATTGCCAGTAGAAGTAAGGAAAATAAAACACACAGAGAAAAAGAAACAAAGCAAATAAATGTGATATCTGCAATCTGCTTCCATTGTTCAAGTGTGGGGCACAGCATAGCCTTGTTCTGAAATGACACAGTGGAAATCATTCCAGAAGGGGAGGAATACTATATGAAGATGTGACTGAAAGGTTTCCAGTTCAAGAAGGTCAATGAGTATATGGTTTAGAGTGTGTATGTCCCTAAAGGCATGAGTACATAAAGGCTTGCTCACCAGCCTGAGGTGCTGTCTGGAGAGGCTGTAGCCTTTAGGAAGTGGAAACCACAGAATAGGTTGTTAGTGGTGGTTTCCAACTTCCACCGAGGTCTCGGCCAGCTCTGCCCTCAACAGGACAGAACCCAGACTGAATTCGAGACCCAGTACAACCCTCCCCCCTGAAAATCTTGGTGTTCCCTTAAAATGCAGTCTCCTGCCTCAAGTGCTATTTCTTGATCCACAAGTCCTTCCATTTTTCCATTCGCCTACGGTTTTGATCACATACTCTTTTGAAGACTAGAGCAAGATGAAATGGCTACTCTTTGTTTAATGGTTACTAAGGGCTCCAAGGCAGGGAGTATAAGATAGGGTTTACTTAGAGGCAGAGTTTTGTTCATGGGTACAAGTTGTAGGGCCTTGAAGGGTTTTCTCAATGGAACCAGTTTGACTTTGAATAATCTTTATTTAGTATCGAAGAACATCGCCATCTTTATGAATTCTCCACTAGAACTTCATGCTCTGGATTCCAGTGAACATTCCCTTTTTCATAGTTCTTCTACTTGCTTCGTCAGTTGTTCTGACAATTGTCTCACACCTTCCTAGACCTCTCAGGAACAGCATCACAACCTGTTGCTCTCTGGTCTCGAACTGTTGTCAGCCACCACTTACACCAGTCTGTCAACCATTAGGTCTTCCCACTCTGGATATATATGCATTTTCTTCCTCAACTTTGAAGACTTCCTCTGTCTCCAGATCTTTCCACTAGATTCATGAATTCATGAATGTCTCTGACACCCAATCTAATCTCGTACTCATAGGCCTCATTGTTGGTTGTTTTGGTGTCTGTGTGGATACTTTACTCCATGATTGTTTGGTCATTGCCATAGTCAGCCAATCTTATGCACAGCTTCTCCATAAACTATGCCATAATTATTTTATGAAAACTTCTACAAATGCCCTACTGCCTTCCAGGAACAATCTCTGTCCTTTTGCCTGTATCATTTGATTGAAATTCAAATGGTTTAGTTCCTCTTTTTTCTCAATTTTTGTCTTCACTTATTCTTAATCTTGTCTTCAGTTTACCACATACCCCTCTCCTTCGCCTGCTTCCAGACCTAACATCCAAGCTTCGCATTTGTCTGTCCACCATCTTTCTATCATATCTCTTGATACAACTTCCAAGCTTAATTAAGCTATCTGTATTTAAAGTCATCGCCTAACACAGCTTGATGCAACTGTGGGAAACTAGTGCTACCTTCAATACATAAATACTTCTTCGGATGTAAGGCTGGTTCTGTCCAGTGGCAGCCGCTGCGGACCTTCAAGCTGTCCACATGGTGGCATTGGCATCATTTACACACGAGAGGACACCAGAAATCTCAGTTGTCTCTAAGTAGCTAAGAGCATTCTACAAGTAATGTTTTTGTAAAGTCACTAAACATAAATATAAATATAAATAAATGAGTTTGTTCATTTAAAAACCACTTATTAGGTAACGACATTTGCTACCAGTAAATCTGATGACTTGTCCCAGAACCCAAATGGTAAGAAGAGAACCAAATTCCTTTGACCTCCACACATGTGCTGTGATAAATAACAAATGGTAAATAAACAAATAATGTAGTACAGAATTTTTAAAAACTTCTCCCAAGCATCTATTTTGTGTGGACTCTTTAAGCGTTGAGGCACAGTCTTGTGAGTTCAGATGATTTTAAGTATACAGCATTTTAAAGGCACATCATTGAGGGCTAGCTTTTAAAATAAAATTTGACTCCAAATGTAGTTTTTTTTAAACAAAATAAATTGTGAGTATAAGGACCCTCTATACATGTGTATTGGTGAATTCATACCTGTGTATGGATCCCATGTGTAATCCAGACCACAATTTATGGGAGTTAGTTTTCTCCTGCCATTTGGGTCCTAGAAATCAAACTTAAGTCACTAGGTTTGTCAGTGGGCATCATTTTGCTCTCTGGACCACATCACAGCTTAGATTTTCCTGTTTCATCTTATGCAACTGATCTAACTTTGCTGAGTTCCAGCTTATTACCTGCAAGTAGAGAATTACTACCATACCAAGGAGTTACAGATACTGAACAACTGAAACAGTCTAACCATCATACACTTTGTGGACACTTTAAATGAGGATTTTTACCTGATTATATTTTAATGTGTCACAGACTTTCCATAAGAAGGCCATTTGGAAGTCTGTAGTGTCCTGTGTTCCAGAGACCACAATAGCTGGGTCCTACCTGACTTATATGTCCGTCCTTGTTTGGAGGGAAGCATGTGGATTAAGAAATGGCAGGTAGAAAAATTATAGATGCTAAAGAAAAGACAGAGACACAGGATAGAGTCGGGAAAGCACTCCGGTGAATACTGGGGGAAAAGCCCCAACTTTATTACACACAGTCTTTATATACCCCAATCAAAAGTGGGGGAAGGCAGAGACTTCCTTGCCAAGATACAAAGAACAAGCAAGCATAATTACCTTCTCAATACACACAACATCAAGCAATCACACCCTAAACCAAGTATGCTGTTGTCAGGGCAAGATGGACAGTAGCCACACTTTAGGCTAAATATCCTCTTGTTAAAGTAAGACATCAATTAGTTTCTTCTTGGGCCAAATACCCTGTTGTCAAGGTAACCTTGAAAGAACAATAGGGGTTTGAACTCCCTGACCTTAAGTCAAGATAAAGTGAGCCATCTCTGTGGGCCCCAACAGAAGTGGTGTCAGAGACCTGGAACTCCTGGAAGCCAGATGCAGGATAACTGAGCCAGCAAGTGTCCCGGAGACTTGGAATTCTGGTGGCTATCAGGACATCAGAGGCCTCCTCTCCAGAAGCAGAGAGGAGTCTTCGCAGCAGCATCGTCTTCAGTTTCCTACATTAAAAAGGGACATTAACGACAGTTTAATAATAGGAACTTTATTTCCTTAGTAAGAGTCTAAAAGTGAAGCTTGATATGCATTGATTTCTGCTGTTCATTGCACACACACAAAAAGTGTTCTGCGTGAGGCTCCAGTGTGCTAAGAGAATCCGTAAATAAACACGAACACCCAGATTCCAGGTGCAGACAGACCTGCCTTCTCCAAACATCCCTTGTCAGATCAAATGCAACCTCCTGTCAGCGGGAGCCCAGGCCTTGGGACCTCACCCTGACAGACCCAGGGGAGATGCGAACTTCCCGCAGTTTTTCTCCAGCAAATTCTTAGCCTAACCCAGGAGAACCGACTCAGGTTCTCTTGTGAACGTGCAGAGAAGAGAGCTTCCACTTAGGGCGCCTGGAGGGGAGAGCCACTGTTGCCCTTGCCTCCTGGGGCTTGGCGGTGACGGGTTCTGCTAGCAAGGCAGGTCTTGTGGAGCGGTGCTCAGCTCCCGGGGGCGGGACCGAGCGGCTCCCTCCGCCCCACAAATTGCTGCCACCGCCTCAGCCCAGCGCTCAGACGCCGCCGCATCCCACGGCAGAGGCGGCTGCGAGCTCGAGCAGCGTCGCACCCCGGTGGTGCCGCAGAGAGGCCGGCAGGCAACACCGCGAGGGACCTGGCTCGGCGCCGCTCGCTTCCCTGGCGCGCAGCTGGTACGTACCGGGCGGGCGGACTGCGAGCGGGTGTCACTAGAGACAGGAGGAAGGGAAAGGACTCGGGGAGTTGGGGAGACCGAGCGAGCGGACGTGTAAGCGCAACTTTGCTTTTTTCCGCCCGGTCTGCATACACCGAGGGAGGAGAATTCAGAACAGATTCTATCCTTCCACCTGAAGTTGGGGAGGGGGGCAGCAAGAGTGAAATCAGGGGCACCCGGGAGGTCTGCTCATCGGCTCTTGCCCTCTGGACACTGAAGGTGGACTCAGGGGACCGCGGGTTGTAGTTGTTGAGCCCTTCTCCTGTCTCGCCATCAACGCCACGTCGTTTTCCTCCTGCTTGGTTTGAGCCGCCACCAGCGCAGTAGAGGTCTGAGTTCCAACCCGCTCTAAGCGTCCAGAGCTGTGGCGTTAGCTAAGCCACCTTACCTTACCGGTTTCCCCCCATTCCTCGATAAACGATGCCTCTGAGGAAACCAGTGACCTCAGGGGTGCCTCGCAGCTATATCAGACTCTCTCGCTGCTGGGACCCTACTTGGTAAACGAGGAGAGACTCAAGTGGCAGGTGGTCGGTCGCAGAGGCTTAGAGGAGGAGGGCGCCCAAGTCCAGGCTGGTCCAGGCTGCTATTACTGCAGCCTTTCGGGAGTTTCCTGGAGGTGCCTTCTGGAAAGGGTGACCCAGTCTTAGGGACCTCCCTGATCCCATAACTCAATTTCCTTCTTTAGGGAAGCTGAGATGATATCATTCCGTCTTCTCAGAGATGGTATCAGGCTGCATTCCTGATTCAGAAAAGCACCGAACAGCAGGTGCTGGGCCCAAGAGAAGCAGTTAAGGCAAACAGTGGGGTTAGCAGCTGGGCTCTGCCTGGCCAGCAGGTGGATACTGGGCGCGGATGATCACTTTAGACATATGTGCAGCCAGGAAAGAACCAAAATGAAGCACTCTTATCAACGGTTTGATACCGAAGCAGTACTGGATTAGAATTACCCTTGACAGTTGCATTTTACTTTGTAAACAGTAACCTTTAAAATTCCTCCTAGCCACTTCACGGGATGTCTTTTTTTCCTTCTAGACATGTTAAAAAAAAAGGGGGGGAGCTTCCTTGAATTTACTATCTGGAAAGCTCAGAGTCTGACTTATTAAAATGAAAACTGGTGACCACAACTGTGATGCCAAAGGACACATCTCTGAAACCCTTGCGTCCTGTGACTGCCAAACATTAGTCAGTGCCCCTCAATTGACGCTATCTTCAGAGAGTTTATTTTCCGAAAAGTGTTTAGCAAGTTCAACTGATTCAATTTTAAACAAAATCTAATTTAAAAAAATAAAAAGGCTCAAGGAAAAGTTTTAGTAATGAACTAATTTTTTTGTCTATGATTTTTTTCAACAAATTATCACAGGCTGGGGGATTGCTCAATCTAGAATATTTTAAGAAGTGTTAAATTCCATCTTGTTAAAGATTTTTTTCCTTCTTCTTTGGGCAATTTAAGCATATGCTTAAGCTAATGGTGGATCAATGTATTTTTCTAATACTATTGCAATTATTTAAATTCCTCTTCAGTCTGCATTACAGATTTAAACAATAAATTTATTGAGATATAGATTATAAATTTACACATCATAGCATTTACCCTCTCAAAGGCAAGTGATTTTTAGAAAGTCACCCCCTATTAATGGTTTTAAGAATTTTCAACAAGATACACAATAATTATTATGATCTAGTTCTAATCTTCAGCACTTTGTAAGATCCATCATGCCCATTTGTAGTTCCCATCCCAACTGCAGGAAATGGTGAATCTGCTTTTCAGTTCCTATAGGCTTACTTTCTCTAAATATTTCAGACTGTATGTTCTTTGGTTTGGGGCTTCATTTACAGTATGATTTGTGGCACATCTGTAATTTGGTATGCATCAATATTCCATTCCTTTTCAAATGCTGAATAATTTATCATCGTGTGGGCATATCATATTTTATCCAGTTTTCAGTTGATATGCATCTGGAAATTTTGTTTTTAAGTGTATATCTATATATTTGAGAATTTCATAAATGCATATAATGTCGTTTGATTGAGTCCAGCCCCCTATTCCTTCACATCCATTTTTTCCCCTTCTATCCATGATTCCCTCCCAATTTCAGGTGTCCTTTTTCCCAGTCCACTTATGCTGTCTGCATATGCCTAGCTCTGAGACCATGTACTGGAGGATGGGTAGCCTTCATGGGACTCACATCCCTTAAGAAACCTGAGTCTTATGCTGGGCGTTGGTGGTGCATGCCTTTAATCCCAGCACTCAGGAGGCAGAGGCAGGTGGATCTCTGTGAGTTCGAGGTCAGCGAGGTCTACAGAGCTAGTTCCAGGATGGCCTCCAGAACAATACAGAGAAACCCTGTCTCAAAAAACCAAAAAGAAAAGAGAGAGAGAGAGAGAGAGAGAGAGAGAGAGAGAGAGAGAGAGAGAGAGAGAAGAAGAAGAAGAGGAAGAAGAAGAAGAAGAAGAAGAAGAAGAAGAAGAAGAAGAAGAAGAAGAAGAAGAGAAGACCTGCATCTCCTTCACCCATCATCAGTTGTCAATGCCTTCACAGCTAGGAGTAAGACTTTGTGGCCATCTCCGCATTCATGCTGGGGTTTTGTCAGGTTTGGAGAGGTCGTGTGCATGCAGTCAGAGCTACTATAAGTTTATGTGTAACTATCCTGTTATATCCAGAAAATACTCCTTCAATATTGTTATCACTGCCTCTGGCTCTTACAGATTTTCCCATCCCTCTTTAGTGATTATCTCTGAGCCTTGAGAAGAGAGGATATGGCATATATGTCCCATTAAGTACCCAGGACTCAGTGTCTTATTCTCTGTGTGTGGATGAGTTATGTATGGGCGTGGGGGGGTTAATCACCTTTTACTGCAAAAAGAAGCTTCTCTGATGAGGGTTGAGAGATGACTTAACTGTGGATATAAGTCTTTAGGTGTTGCTTTAATACTTTGTCCTTCTAGCAGAATAATAGTGGTAGGTTCTCTCCTTGAGCCTTTGACATACCAAGTTTCAGCTTCTTGGCCTCTTTTATGGTTGCAGGCATCCTTTTAATTTCATATATATATGCATAATATAATTTATATTAAATATTATATAGTGTGTGTGTGTTCACAAGTGTGCCACAGCATGTACATGAAGGTTAGAGGACAACTTGGGGAAGTAAAATTCATTTCTTCTACCATTTGGGTCCAAGGACCAAACTCCCATCTTCAGGCATCTTGACAAATGATGTTAGCCACTGAGCCATCTTTTGACTCTGGATTGTATGAACATTATGGCCCTCTTTTAAAAAACATAATAGAGCGAGTTTTAGTAAAAAGTTTTGTATGTACAAAATGTAGAAAGTTCTAGAGGAGTAAGGTAGGTAGGTGTAAGAGTGTGTGTGTGTGTGTGTGTGTGTGTGTGTGTGTGTGTGTGTGTGTTAGGGTTTCTATTGCTGCAACAAAACACCTTGACTCAAAAGCAAGTTGGAGAGGAAAGGATTACACTTCCCCATTGTTGTTCATCACTGAAGAAAGGACAAGAACTCAAGCAGGGCAGGATCCTGGAGGCAAGAGCTGAGGCAGAGGCCATGGATGGGTACTGCTTACTGGATTGCTTCCCTGGCTTGCTCAGCCTGCTTTCCCATGACCAGTAGACCAGGGATGGCACCACCGACCATAGGCTGAACCCTCTCCCAGTTAGTCACTAAATGAGAAATATGTTAAGCTGAATTTCATTGAGGCATTTTCTCAACTGAGGCTCCTTCCTCTGATTACTCAAGCTCGTATCAAGTTGACACTCAAAACTAGCCAGTGTAGTGTGAGTGACAGATCACACACACACACACACACACACACACACACACACACACACACACACACACCACAGTGGGGGAAGGGCTTCCTATTAATTCTCAAGTACAGCAAGCTATGTCTAAAAAAATGTTACAACATTTTCCAGTAATATTTCTTGCTTAATGGTTTGTCTTAGGCAAATGAAAGTGAACCAGGCTTAATCAAGATTAAATCTGCATTTAAAATGAGAAAGAAACCCATTTGAAATTGGTATTTCCAGATGTTGCTAACACTCAATTTTGTGTGGCTTGACTCTAAATTTGGTTGTTTTCCATTCCTTTAGTGTGTAAGTTTGACCTTAAGGGGAAGGAAAAAAAAAGGATTCATTTCTGAATACCAAATACAACTGATAAAGTCTATAAAGATGCCCCCTTAGCTAAAATGCCATGCAAATAATAATTAATCACCTCCTAATGCAGGTGAGGCAATCTAAAGCCCTAAACTCAGTAATTACATCTACAAAAGTCACATATTATAGGTAAAAATCAAGACTGAGGCCTGCATTTTCAAACTTTTCTTATTGGTACATACTTTTCTAAATTCTGCTCACACATATCATCATATACTTTGTATATAGCTCTTCTGTGCCACTGTGACTTAATGAAAAGTTCTAGGTCATACTCCCGTGAGTACCTGCAAAACCAAACATGGTTATGCTTTCTCCTTTTGAAAGTAGAACTGATTTTGAGAAATGAAGCAGAGTTTCTACTCTTTACTCAAATGAGAGAAGCATATTTTTCAGCTCTCAAATGGCAAATGGCCAGGTTCATCTGCTGAGGGAGGGTGTGTGCTGTTGACTCTCCATAAGATGATTTTGTCCTTCAGTCACACAGAGTTGTAAGATAACAATAAGATACAGAAATGGCCGGGCGGTGGTGGCGCACGCCTTTAATCCCAGCACTCGGGAGGCAGAGGCAGGCGGATCTCTGTGAGTTCGAGGCCAGGCTAGACCGACAGCCTCCAAAACAATACAGAGAAACCCTGTCTCGTAAAAACCAAAAAAAAAAAAAAGATACAGAAATGAATATTTGCATTGGTATGGATTTTGGCTTTTTGAGATAGGGTTTTTCTATTTTTGACTGTCCTGGAACTCACTCTGTAGACTAGGCAGGCCTTGAACTCACAGAGATCCACCTA